TGCTGCACGGGGCGGAGGGACCTACCAGGCTGGCAGGCAAACACACCGGGGCTATTGACGCCACATCAATCCTGCAGCCCTGACAGGTGAATGGGCTCTCACTCACACCGTTAAGATAAATGATATTTATTTGCTGCTAAGAGGTTCCAACAAGAGGCCCCAACAAGTGACTTTTGAACCAGCACCTCTTGCTGCCGGTACACGCCCAAACTGGGGAAAACCCTGGGAAATGTCCCCAAGGCTGCATCGCTCCCGTGGGCTCTTCTTGCCCCACACACAGCACCACGGCCACAGCCCCTTCCCCTGCCTGGCACACAGACCCTGCCCCATACGTGCTATCCCAGCCCCTTCTCCGGCCCAGCCTCATGAGGGCACCCTGGACCGCACGCCCACGAAGCAAGCGCTGGGACTTGGCTGGGGCCGGGACCTTTATTTCATCAATGCCGACAGCACGGCCGTGCCTGACGCTGCCCACGCATGCTGCTCCCAGCCCCGCAAGCCGTGATCCCTGGCCAGGAGCCACCCCGAGGGGGGCAGCAGCCGCCCCGGCCTCACAGCCGGGCATCTGCTGGGGCGGGGGGGGGTGTCACCCCCCTGGGAGGAAGCAGGCAGCCGGGCCGGGCACCCCAAGACCCAGAGGGGTGGGCTGTGCCGGTGCTCAGCCGCTGTGCGTGCCCAAGCCCAGCACTGAGAAGGCCGCACGATGCTTCCTCAGCAGCAGCCGGATCTTCTCGTCATCCGAGTCTGGGTCCAGGGGCTTGTTGTACTCGTCGTCCTCCGTCTCAGAGGCCGCCCGCTCTCCGCCAGAGCCCCCCGCCCGCTGCGAGGACGAGGAGGGCTCCAGGGCGCTCTTCTTCCTCCATTTGGTCCGTCGGTTCTGGAACCAGACCTGCCGCCCCATGGGCCCGGCTCGGTTAGCAGCCGCCACGCCACGCGCCCCGTGCCACGCGGGGACCAACACTCACCTTCACCTGGGACTCAGTCATGCCAAGGGAATAGGCCAGCCGTGCTCTCTCCGGACCCGCCAGGTACTTGGTCTGCTCAAAAGTCTTCTCCAGAGCGAAGATCTGGTGCCCCGTGAAGGTTGGGCGCGTGTGCTTCTTCTTGTGGATGCTGTCGGCCAGGTGAGCAGGGGCTGCGGGAGAGGAGGAGGGAGGCAGGTGAGCACCCGGGCTCCCTGCAGCGCGCGGCTCTGGGCAGCTCTCCCCTTCCCAAAAACGGCACCGGCGCGCCCGCCAGCAGCCACAGAGTCCCTCCACGCTGGCTTCCCTCCAACTTAAAACCATATTCGGGCTTCAAGGCTTCAGCCCCATCCCAGGAGGGCTGAGCTGCCCTCTGTGCGGGCCCCGTAGAGCCAGAACCGTGCCGTGCATCTCCCGCTCGGGGACAGCGCTAATTTGTTGTGCTGAGAGGGGAAGGGTCGTTAGCAGCAGCGCATGACCCCAGAGGCACGCGGCACTGGGAACACCGTGCCCCTGTGCCCCACACCTTGCAGGATGCACGACAGGAAGGCAGGCAGAGCTGGTTGGCTCGTAGCTGTGCCAGGAGCGGATGGCCGAGCTGCCTGACCCGTCTGCTCCAAGGGCATCACCTGGAGAGGTGGGAAGGGGACCGTGGCTGCAGGTGCCGAGCAGCTGCACCCAGCCCCTGGCCCAGAGCCTCCTGGGGCTCCCCACAGGGCAGTGGGTGCACCCACCCCACCCACCCTCCAGCACGGCAGCAACGTGCTCTGCGATCCCCCCGCCAGCTCTCCGGCCATCCTGCCTGTCTCTGCCCCGAGCCGGGCTGGGCACTGAGCCCAGTGAAGCTGCCGGAGGGACGGGGAGATCTGCGGGACGGCGGGCTCTGCCTGTCCTTGCCGGAACAAGCTGTGGCTTGCCTGGGGGGGCTAAGCAAAGAGTTAATCCCTGCCATTGGAGCTGCCCCTGCTCTTGAGCCGAAATCTCTGTGGCAGGTTGAGGTCCAGCAGCATTGGCTCCGGGGCCGTTCCCACCGTCCTGGGGCAGCCCACAGGGTGACCAGCCGTGCCTCGCGCCGGGCGATGGAGAAGACGTGGCCTGGGCGGCTGCGGGGCACCCACCGCCTGCGGCACCCACCCACCC